AAAATTTGAATTTTTTGAAAATCTTGAATTTTTGGGAATTTGAATTTTTGGATTTTTCAAATTTTTTAAAGTTTTGAATTTTCGAATTTTTAAGAATTTTCGAAAATTCGAATTTTTTGAATTTTCGAATTTTTTGAATTTCTGAATTTTTGTTTAATTTTTTGAAAATTTTTAGGAATACTAAAATAAGCCTAAAATGGCTAAAAATAGGCCTAAAATGCCCAAAATACGCTTAAAATCGGCTAAAAAAGATCTAAAATCGGCTTAAAACGGCCGAAAATGCTCCAACGGCTGTTTTAGGATATTGGACCATTTTCGAACATTTAAGACTGTAATTAGCCTATTCCCAGCCTATTTTTAGTCTATTTTAAGCCTATTTCCCACCCAAAAATGCTCATTTTTTCCACCTAGAATTGTCATTTTCGCTGGTTTCTAGCCTCCGAATTCGGGTCATTTTCAGCCATTTTTAGTCTAGTTTCAGCATATTCTAAGCTTATCTTCAGCTTAGTTTCAGCCAAAAATTCAGTTGATTTTGTCACCTTCTGACTAATTTACAGCATATTTAAGCCTATTTTAAGCTTATTCAAGGCCTATTTTTAGCCTATTTCTAGCCGATTTCAACCTATAAACCCAATTTTCCAGGGTCACGTGCACATGAACTCCACCGTCTGGCACTCGCTCACAGGCTTCGTCCAATACCTCGGCTCCTCCGGCAAGTGCAAAATCGACGAAGGCGACAAGGGATGGTACATCGCCTACATCGATCAAGAAGCGGTGATTCGAAAAGAGGAGGAGCAGAGAAAACAGCAACAAGAGCGAGATGACGAGGATCGACACTTGCAAATCGTCGAGGAAATGGTGGCACGTGGCAGGGAGTTGGCTGGAGAGGATACTGTAGATTATGAGGCCACCGAGCTTCGTCGGGAGGATCCGGATCAGAAAATTCAGTTGGATTTGGTGGGATTTGACCGGAAACCGCAAAAAAATGATCAATTTTTGGCGTCTAAAACGTCCATTTTCGACCTGAAACCTGTGAAAAAAGAGGATCCGGATGGTCCCGGACCTTCTGGAGCACCTAAAAGAAGACGTTCACGCTCCAGAAGCCCTAAATCTTCGAAAAATGCCAAAAAGTCAGCTTTGGACGAGATCAAGGAGATGGAGGAGCGAAAAAAAGAGAGAAAGAATCGAAAGGATTATTGGATGAGAGAGGGAATTGTGGTTAAGGTAGGGGCGTTTTTGGCTGGAAACAGGCTGAAAATGGGCGAAAAATATGCTGGAAATGGTCCAAAACGGCCAACAAATGACAAAAAATAGTTTAAAATTAGTCAAAATTATGCTAAAAATAGGGTAAAAATAGGCTCGAATTGGCCCCAAAATTTGGCTGAAAGTGACTGAAAATTGCTGAAAAATCGCTCAAAATAGACTTAAATTGACTGAAAATGGTCCAAATTTCATAAAAAGTGGTTAAAAATTACGAAAAAAAACAGCAGATTTTGGCTGAAATGGGCTGAAAATAGGTCAAACTTGACTGAAAATGGGCGAAAAATGAGCTAAAAATAGGTGAGAAACAGGCTGAAAATAGGCTTCAATAGGCTTAAAAAAGGCCTGAAAATAGTATAAAAATGGCTTAAAATAATCTAAAAATAGGCTGAAAATAGCTCAAGTTTGACTGAAAATACTCTGAAAGTAGGCTTGAATAGGGTTTAAAAGGCCTGAAATAGGTTTAAAATAGGTCAGACATAGTCTGAAAATAGGTCAAATTAGGCTGAAAATTGTCTAAAATGACGGAAATTACCAAAAAATGACCCAAAATCGTTCAATTTTGGCTCATTTTGCCTCATTTTTAACCTGAAAATCGCCTTAAAATGACTGAAAATGACTTTAAAAGCACTGAAAATTCCTGAAAATCGACTGAAAATTACCCAAATTTGACTGAAAATAGCCTAAATTAACTCAATTTTGTCTCATTTTACCTCGTTAAAAACGATCTTAAAATGACTAAAAATCGGCTGAAAATTGTCCAAAATGACTGAAAACATAGACGACTTTGAAAGTGCTGGAACTGGCTGAAAATCGACAAAAATGACCCAAATTAGCTCAATTTCGGCTCATTTTGGCTCATTTTTCAACCCTGAAAACTCAAAAAAAACCCCATTTTCCAGGTAGTGACCAAATCCCTTGGCTCCCAATACTACAAATCAAAAGGCGTCGTGAAGAAGATGATCGACGACTACACGGCTCAAGTGAAGCTGGACGATGGTACGGTAGTCAAATTGGATCAAGAACACGTGGAAACCGTAATCCCATCGATTGGCAGGACAATGTTGGTGGTGAATGGAGCGTATCGAGGACAGGAAGCGGTAAGGAATGGATTTTGGCTGAAAATTGACTGAAAATCGGCTGAAAATTGGCCGAAAATAGGCCTGATTAGGCTGGAGTTGACTGCAAATGACCCTGAATTGGCCTTAAACTGCCTGAAATTGGCTTAAAAGGACTGAAAATCGCAAAAAAAAGAGCCTAAAAAGCCTAAAGATTGGCCTGAAAATGGCCTTAAAGGCCTATCTCTAGCCTATTTTGAGCTGAACTGGCGTTTTTAGGCCTGAAATGGGACCAATTTTAGGCTTCATGTTTCAGGCTTTTTCAACGAAAATAGGCCAACTTTCGACCTAACTAGGCCGATATTAGGCATGAAAAGCCTGAAAATTTTGAGTCATTTTTCGCAAATTTAGGCCGTTTTTACACGATTTTCGGACTATTTAAGCCCGATTCTAGACCAATTTCGGACTATTTAGACTAGTCTGCGGCCTAAACAAACCGATTTAAAGGCCAAAACAAGGCTAGAATAGGCCGGAATCGTCTGAGTTGGCTGAGCCTAAAAAGCCTAAAGATGGGCCTGAAAATGGCCTTAAAAGGCCTATCTCTAGCCTATTTTGTGCTGAACTAGCCGTTTTTATTCTTGAATTTGGTTTTTTTAAGCCTGCAATGGGACCAATTTTAGGCTTTTCGTAGGCCTGTTCGGGCTGGTTTTAGGCTATTTTAAGCCAATTTAAACTGAAAAAAATCAGCCGATTCAGATGGTTCTAGCTTATTCTAGCCTTGTTTTTGGCTTTAAATCGGCCCGGAATCGGTCTAAAATCGTGTCTAATTAGACCTAAATTGGCCCAAAGTGACACGGATTTTCAGGCTTTTTAGGCCATTTTTAGTCTTTTCAGGCCTAATGTCGGCCTCTTTCGGTCTGATCAGTTGGCCTTTTTCGTTGAAAAAGCCTGAAACGCGGCCTAAATCGGCCTAATTCGGGCCGAAAAGGCCCAATTTTTTGAAGGCCAAAATCCGGATTTTAGGCCGTTTTTAGCCCATTTTAAGCCTATTTTCAGTCTATTTTAAGCCTATTTTCAGCATATTTTAAGCCTATTTTCGACCTATTTTAAGCCTATTCAAGCTTATTGTCGGCCTAATTTCAGCCTGAAAGCCTAATTTTCAAGTTTTGCAGACCCTGGAATCCATCGACGAGAAGCACTTCTCTCTGCGACTCAAAATCGCCTCGGGACCCACGCGAGGCCGACAAATCGACGTTCCCTATGAGGATGCCAGTAAAATGGCCTAAATAGGCCTTTTTAAGGCCTAAAAATGGGCCTGAAAAGCCTGAAAATCTGATTTTTCCTGTATTTTTCAACCCTAATAAAATGTCTCTAGTTTTTTTTTTTTGAAAATTTTTTTTGAAATTCAAAAAAAAACAACCGTACCCCTACAGTATGAAAATGGTTCATTTTTTGAAAATGGGAAAAATTTGAAATTTACAAAAAAATCGAAAAAAAATAGGCTGAAAATGGCACAGAAACTCGTTAAAAAAGGGGGCGGAGCTCAAGGTGAAAAGTGGGCGTGGCCTATTTATCCAGATGACGTGGCATTTTTTAGAACGTGGGATTCGTAGTCGTAGTCGTCCTTCTCGACAGTACTCTGTAAATTTTTGGATTTTTGGGGATTACTGTAGTTTTTCAGGGAAATCAGGATTACTGTAGATTTGAAGGGATTACTGTACTTTTCCAGGGATTACTGTAGTTTTCGAAAAATTAGGAGGTACTGTAGTTTTGAAAAAAAAAATCAGGATTACTGTAAATTTTAAGGGTTACTGTACTTTCCGGGGATTACTGTAATTTTCAAAAATCAGGGTTACTGTAGTTTTCTCTCACGTCAAGAAGCGTTCCAGCCTGCGCAAATTCACCATGGGGTTACGGTAGCGGCCAAAAATGAGCCGCCAGGTCTGAAAAACAATTGGCCTACAAGGGCCTAAAGAGTCTAAATCGGCCTAAATCGGCCTAGAAGCCTAAAAGCCTAGGTTGACCTGAAAAGGCCGAAAAGCCAGGTCTAATCCGGTCTAAGGACCTTAAAACCTATTTCAGGCCTGAAACTGCCTAATAATTCTTGGAAAGGCCTAAAAGCCTGAAAAGGTCAATTCGGCACGAAAGCCTAAATCGGCCTGAAATCCTAAAAAGCTTTAAAAATCAGTCTGAAAGCCTGAGACGGCCTGAAAGCATATGTCAGTCCTGAATAGGCCTATAGGCCCATTTTAGGCCTAGATGGCATAAAAAACCGAAAAGCCTATATCAGGTCTCAACCGGCCTGAAAGCCTATTTGTTATTAAATAGACCGAAAAGCCTAAATCGGCCCAAATCGGCCTAAACAGGCCTGAGAAGCCTCATGACCTGAGAGGATCTTTCAGGCCCATACCAACCTAAAAACCTCATTCAGGAAACATCTAAAAATCTATGTCAAGCCTAAAAGCCTGAATCGGCCTACAAGGGCCTATTTCCCCCAGGATTACAGTACCTCTGTAGTCGTCGTCGCATTTGGGGCGGATGCAATGTAGGCGTCCTCACCAAAGGTCCGGACCAAATCACAGAAAAGTGGGGCCGACTCGTCGTGACACGATTTTGAGCTACGCGAACGGCGCTGAAAAAAAAGGGGAATTTTTTGTAGGCCTGAAAAGCCTGAAAAGCCTAAAATTAGGCCTGAAAGAGCCTAAGAGTCTGTTTTGATGATTTCGCTCAAAATAGTCCAAAATCAACGGGGAAAAACGGGGAAACTTCCAGTCCAGGCCAATTTAGACGGCCCAAACGCTTCTAGGCCTATTCAGGCCGGCCTGAAAGCCTGAAACGGCCCGAAAACTCACCTCAAGACATGAGCAAAACGTGTCGTCGCAGAATTGCTGACCCGACTGCGCGTCGTAACAATTGTCGTGTTGATAGCAGCAGCTGTTCCAGTGATCTGCAAGGATTATTGTATTTTTTATGGGTTACTGTAGTCTTGAGGGGTTACTGTAGACCCCAAAGGATTACTGTAGGCTCAAATTTATTACTGTAGATCCCAGATCCTAGAAACACCCTAGATAACTGTAGATCATATGAACTTCTGGAAGACCTTTAGTAGCGGCTTTCTGGTTACTGTAGATTCTATGGACTACTGTAGTTTCAAAAGGATTACTGTAGATCTTATGGATTACTGTAACCCCTAAAGATTAACGTAGTTGGATTACTGTACCTCGAAGTTTCGGACACTTTGCCATGATCTCTCCTTCGCTGATCGATTTGGTGAACTCATCGGTTCCGCACTCCCACGGCGCGTTTTTGAGAACTGCAACAATTTTTGTGGTTTGTAGTCTTTGTAGTCTTACTGTACCTTGTGGCAATTTGGCATTCCGAATTTCCGCCGAAATCGTCGTCGTCGTTGGTTTTTGAGTGGTTGATGATGATGACGTGGCGGATTCAGAAGCGGTGACGACGACGATCAGAAGAAGCCACGTGGCACGCATTCTGGAAGAAAAATAAATTAAAATAATTGAAAAATAGAGAAAAAATGACTAAAAATCGGTTAAAAATTTGAGGAAAAATTGAAAAACTGGCGCCAAAATTTTTTTTTTCAAAAAATGAAAATTTTAGATCAAAAATAAATAAAATTAACTTAAATTCAGAAATTCGGAAATTCAGAAATTCAGAAATTCGGAAATTCAGAAATTCAGAAATTCAGAACCCCAGAAATTCAGAAATTAAGAAATTCGGAAATTCAGAAATTCAGAAATTAAGAAATTAAGAAATTCAGAAATTCGGAAATTCAGAAATTCAGAAATTCGGAAATTCAGAAATTCAGAAATTCAGAACCCCAGAAATTCAGAAATTAAGAAATTCGGAAATTCAGAAATTCAGAAATTCAGAACCCCAGAAATTCAGAAATTCAGAAATTCGGAAATTCAGAAATTCAGAAATTCAGAAATTCAGAAATTCAGAAATTCGGAAATTCAGAAATTCTAAAATTTAGAAATTTAGAAATTCAGAAATTCAGAAATTCAGAAATTTAGAAATTCGGAAATTCGGAAATTCAGAAATTCAGAAATTCAGAACCCCAGAAATTCGGAAATTTAGAAATTTAGAAGTTTTACTCCGATTTTTAAATTTCAGACCATCTTTTGTAAATTTCTGAAAATTGTTGTCTTTTTGGAATATTTAAATTAGTTTCAGCCAAATTTCAGTCTCTTCAAAATCAAAAAGTTCTCTGACAATTCTCTAAAGTTTCAGAAAAAAATCCAGAATTTCTTAAGCAAACAAATATGAAAAAAGTTCCTCTATCCTAGAGAAAACAACAAAAAAGGTAGACACGACAATTCGAAAAAAAATAAAGTGGTTTTTTCTAAAATAAGTCTTTGTCGCCGGCCATTCGGAGAAGGGGAAAATGAAGAAGGAGAAGAAAAAGTACTGATTTTTTCTGCCACAATTGGACACCAAGGTCATTGCAAAATGACGTCGGATATGGTCAAAATTGACCAGAGGAATTGGAAAAGAAATTGAGAAAAACTGATCGAAAATGACATGAGAATTAAAGAAGACTGGACAGTTTTGGATCAAAAGTTAAAAAATTCAAAATGCAAATTTCGGATTTTTAAGAAATAGATGATAAAAAATGTTGCCTTCAAAGTATTTTTTCTAGCAATTTCAAGTTTTTAGACTCCCAAAATTCGGGGAATTCCAAAACAAAAAACATGGATTTAGGACTTTTGTTTTAGAATTTCTGAATTTCTGAAATTGTGTTTACCAAGTTTGGAAGTGTGGAAGTCAGCGCGGTCTTCTGTTTTAAGTTTAAAAATCGCCTAATTATTAAAGGTGGGGTGGGGGGGGGGGGGATGAAAAAAATAATGTTCTCGAAATTCCGTTCAAAGATGCCCCTCGAGGAGTTGAACTTGTGAGGGCGATGATTGAGGGTGCGGCACCGCTACCGCCACGCGGGCAAAGAGAAAACGCACGCCCGATTGCATACATAAAGGCGAGGACGACAGCTGTACGCAGAGTGACATTAAGCGTTGTACACCGTCACGGTAGAATGCATACTCTAGCTACAAAAAAACTACGAAAAATCTTCTGTCCCCCCACCTTTAAATTTTTATCTCAATTTTCAGAATTTGCAGATTTTTTTTTGGTTGACTGGAGTACTATATAATAATTGCCATGTTTTTGACGAAAAAAAAAAACAGAAAAAACCAATCCTGACTTCTGAGAATGTTTAAAAAAATGGTTTCCAAAAAAGTGAAAACTTGAAAAGGTCAATTTTCGGCTCTTTTCTAGTTTAGAGGTCCCAAAACAATTTACAGGTCCGAAAAAAAAATTAGAGGTCCCAAGAAAAAATAGAGGTCCAAAATTGGAAAAACGCACAGATATTGGAATAATGTACTAGTATTTGAAATGTGTGAGTAGTTTCAGTTTTGGGTCTTATAGGATGATATTACTGCTCCTAATACCGTAAAACCTCTAATAGAACGACACCCGGATCGTCCACTTTGAGCCTATATATCTCAC